AGATATAGGTGTTGAGATTGGTGATAAGTTTTTGGAAAGTAATATAGATGACAGCTCCGGAATTTATCTTCCTTCTCATGTATCTTGCTTTTCACACACTCTAAACTTGCTTGCTACAACTGATGCAAGTAAAGCTTTGAATAATGATTCAAACTACAAAAGAATATATAGATCAGTATCCAGTAAGTGTGTCTCTCTCAGCACCGCATCACACCAGAGTTCAAAAGCTGCTGAAATTGTGCATGAAATCTTAGGCAGAACAATACCCAAACCGAATGGGACACGCTGGAATTCTGAATTTGACTGTTATAGCATTATATATAGTCTTCGCGATAAAGTAAATGTTGTGATGGAACGTTTGCAGCTGCCGAAGTTCAGCAATATAGATTTGAGTTTTCTTAATGAGTGGTTGGAACTGATGAGACCAATTTCACTAGCATTGGACAAGCTCCAAGGTGAGGTTTCAATGGAGTCTTATTTTGCTGCTGTATTACCAACTATATTTGTTATACAGCGAAAACTGCAATCTTTTACTCTATCGTACACTTCAGCTCTTGTTTCTGCTCTTCAATGTGGCATGGATAAACGCTTTGGCGATATAATTGACTTTAAAGATATTTCAAGCAACAGCAAGATGAGAGCATTTGTTGTGGCTTCGATCAGCCATCCGTTTTTTAAAATCAGGTGGATAGAATCATCAGTTCGTGAGCAAGTTGAAGACTTGTTTCTAGCAGAAGTGGTCAGAATGAGCAATTCTTCAACAGTTTATGAAGACAGAAATACTAGAGGTTGTACTAGTGCAGATTTTTATGGATTCCACGAACCAAGTTCCGAATCACAATCGAATGAAAAAGTTGAAGGACTGCAATATCTTAGTGATCCTTCATATGATATGGAACAACTCAAAAGGTAATCAATATTTTTCTGTAATATATTATATATGTATAATATGTATATGCTTGATTTTCTAATACATTTTTATTCTCAAGTATTAATAACAAATTAATAATTTGCTATTTCGGTTAACAACTATATTATTGTTCCTTAGGTATCCTGCTGTCGCACAAGTGTTTTTGAAGTACAATACCACTGTGCCATCATCAGCACCTGTGGAACGTATATTTAGCCAGACTGGAATAAACTTTACTTTTACTCAAAAAGAACAAACTCTTTTATTGATGTAAATAAATTACTGTAAATAATGAGTTGATTTCTGAGTTTAATAAATTTATAAATATTTCAAATTAACCATGGTATGTACTTAGGTACTTATGTACTTAGTGCTTATACTTAGTACTTATAAGTATCAAGTATACAATTTGTTTCGGCACTTAGTACTTATACTTAAGTACTTTTATTACTGAGTACTTAGTACTTATACTTAAGTACATTTTTTAAGTACTTACGTCATCACTGATAAATAGGGGATTGAAACAAAATAAATTTAATCCACATTTCAAAAGGTGGTCAGCGATCAAGCACTGCTAAGAAAAAGGTCATAGAAATAAAAATAAACCGAATCATTATGGTTAAAATGTTGCAGCAATAAAATAAGTTTGCTTTCCACATACATCTACAATCATTTTTTTCCCATTTGACTCTCCTAACCGGTAAATCTTTACTAAAACAACCGAGAATAAAATATTGAATAAATGAAAACACCGCATCTTTCTTTACTTCAAATAACTTATATGCATAACGGAGAAATAATTAACCGACTTTCTGATAAATTTAAATTTAATTAACTTCATCTGATTTGATAATTTGATGACAAAATAGACAAAAGTGAGAGCTAAAAAAATCAAATATCTGAAGAATAAAGTCATACAAATTCCTCATTATCTGAGAGCGAGATGTAATTGTTTCCAGTGTTCAGAGCAGCAGATGAAGGGGTGTTGGCGGTCGCTGCAGGAGACGTGCTTGTGCAAGTGGTCTGAGGTAGTTCGTAGAAACATTTGAAGCATTCCCCGAGTATTGGGTTGTACGGCTTTTTTGCTACCCCACTTTTCTTGCCTGCGTGGAATGCCGACAAGTAGAATCTGACTGTTTGTACGAGGCGATCCTTGGCTGTTGACTGCTCTGCAATACTGTCATTAACAATTTACTTATCAACATTTTCAACAAGAAATAATAAGAGATAAAAAATTTATATGATAACAACTCTCTCCAAAAAAACGAAAAACTATGTAACTATTATCTCAACTATTTCAAAGGAATAAACATATGGGGGCACGTGACGAAAAATTGCGAGCCAGCCAACCAACCTAACGAAGAGATCAGGATGGGCCAAGAAATCTGAATACATCTCGAGAAGTGACCGTTTCTCGAGTATGAAGGTTGGCAGGACAACCTTTGTGAGGTCCATGCCGATGTGCAGCTGGCTGAGGAGGTGCGTAAGTAAGTTGCCATGGTTCTCCATCGATTCAACTGTTTAGACGTGTGGTGTATGGTGAATGCGTGAACTGGCAGAAGTTGGAGGTGATGACATTTTTGGGGATTGTGTGAAGTGTGTCTGGTGTTCGATTAAACTGGTTATGGCGATGGCGGTGAATCTTGAAATCAAACTTTTTCCTAAGTCATTTGTTTGTAATGACAATTAATCTTTATTGGTTTTATTACTCCCTCTGACAGAAGTTTCAAAATTTAACATTTTTTTCAAAAGTTATTATTCCGATGATGATTTGCGGTTTATGTCGTCACAATAAATGTCATTTTCTAGTGCGTAAATTTGATAGTTCTGTGTTATTATTATTATTATTGTTATTACTATTAAACTTGCAATAAATTTCCAAGCAATATGGTCATCGATTGAATCTTTCAAACCAACAAAACAGTGTGCACAAATTGTGTACATTCAGTCATCTGCGCTGGATGTTTCGGTGAAGGCCATCAAATGCCGATACTTAATTAACGTCAACTGCACAGCAATGGGAAGTAGGTTTCTATAATATATATAAAGTAATATATACCTAGCAGTTAAACCACTGTCAACACTAATTAGTCGAAAACATCATTATACTAATCAAAACATTGTTTTAACTCTCATATAAGAATAAACTGTTTTTAACTGCATGACAAATTTTTAAGCAATGTGTATTGTACGATTCAATAAACCTTTTAAAACTAAACTAGCCCCTAACGCCCTGAAGAAAATGATTTCATCAACTGCAATCTTGAATACTTTTTATAAATAATGAAGCTGAAATAGATGCACTAAAGTTATAAACGCACGCCCTACAAACACAACAACAGACTGATCATGAAAATAGTCATGGGCCTCATATAGTTCAGTTATTAAATGAACGCATGATAATGATGATGTTGATTATATTGTTGATGGTGACGGTGATAACGATGACGTTGTTGTTTTTGTTGATGATAACGATGATGATAATAGATAGATAGACTGGCAATGAAATGTGTCACTGAATGAACAACCAATAAACTAAATGGTGTGTTGCATGTGAACGGTGTGAACAATTTTAAATTTTACAAGTAAGTCAAAAGAAGATTCAACGACTAATTCCACGACGACATAAGAACAAATGAATAAAATTCTGTGAAAACAAATTAGCCACTAATCATGATAAAAATGTTCGCCTACTTTTTGAATTCCGAGTATATTTTGAATTTTAGTTTCAAAATATACTCGAATATAATATCGAATATATACTTGAATTTGAATTTCGGTTTTATTTTTAATTTAAGTTTTATTTTGAATATGAGTTTTATTTAGAATTTTAGTTTAATAGTTAATTAGAGTTTTATTTTAAACTCTAATTTTATTTTAAAGTCGAGTTTTATTCAGATTCGAGTTCATTTTGAATTTGAGTCATTTTGAATATTGTTACATTACTGATTGAGTAACTGATTGAGTGATTGAGAACTCACCACATCAGAATTTATGTTTGTATTTGTCTAAATTTTAACCTATGTATGAGGCACAACAAAAATAGCATGATACTTGGGAAGGCGCTCGACAAAAAAATTTGCATTGTATCTCAGGGAGGTGTGCACGATAGGAAAAAACAAAACCCAAAACACTAAGCACTAGAAAAGCCCTAAATAGATGCGTCCCATGGTAACACCTACAAACGCCGATAATAATGATTATATACATATTGTGATGAAGGAGTGAGAAGTGTGGCCTTGATTTCCATGTGATTGCCTTGAAAACCGAGACATGGCTTAATGATGTTTCTGCTTCAACAATTCATATTCCAAATTATAATTTTCGTACGTGAACGCATACGTGCGGCGTGGGGTAGATGGCACCTCCTTGCCTCGGTACTGATGCGGCGTAGCATTCCTCTACCGCTGCGCTCAGAGCTATAAAACACAGCTATACGATCTGTTCTGATGTATGGTGCAGAGACGTGGCCGATGACAACAAAACTCTAACAGTAATTTCCGTTACTGAGCACCAGGTGCCTGACACCCGCTAAAGAAGTCCTGGACACAGACCAAACAGGAGGACTTGAAGGCACTTGGTCTTAAGGAGACAGATGCAATGGATAGATCAGCTTGGAAACAGAAGCTGATGAATGGAATAAAAAAGTACAACTCATAACGGATGGAGACTATAAACGAGGATTGATATTGATTGATTAATTTCAATAGAATCAACATCATCGTTGCATGGAATATTGAACAAATCTCACTTTTAGTAAGAAACCGTCTTTTTCATGAATAAACCGCCACTCATATTTTCTTGCATGAAAACCCATCCATCCATATACAACGCAATCAATACGAATATTTTCAATAGTGAGAACGGTACACGTAAACGTAACAACAGCGTTGTTATCCACGTGTTCTTTTACCGGTTGGTGCCATCAAGTTTGGATATTATCAATCATGAGACGTAATGCAGATCAATTTGCATGCAGCCAGGCTTTCTTGAATATAGTAGAGAACAAAGAATAGAACGGTAACAAGATCTGAATAACATTCAGCACTCTCAAGTAAAGAGATTGTAGTAAATTGCAAGTTCTGTCAATACAGAAATAAAATGCTAAAGAATTAACGCAACAAAAAATTAACTGGTAACGAATTGTATGTGGAATTAAAAACGTTTAAAAAATAAATTATGTAGAGCAAGAAATTATTGTAACTCACTTCCTTCTTCTTCGTCATCATCTTCTTCATACACATCTAGATAAAATTTCAACAAAAACGTTAATACACCTGACTTTCATATGATCGTCGGTTATATGAATTCTATTTAAATATGCTATAAAATTATTTAATAACACCAAAAACAGTTCACTGCGACACATTCAAACTGCTCATTCAATGAAGATTAAAAGAAGAAGAACAATTTAATGAAGAGACAAGTTAGAGTAAAATAAAACTAAAACTAGCAAAATTCAAAGCCTAGTTAGCACATGCAAATTGATTAAGAAGCTGTAAAAATTTTTAACGGCTTATGCAACAATTTTCGAATTAGGAATGGAAAAATAGTGAAAATTTAAATAGACAGAAAAATATTTAAAGTTCGCTTTCTCAAAACTATGTTTAAAAAAGTTTGAAACGACGTGACATACCTACACCTGGTCTTTTGTTGATCGATTTTGATAATGATCTGCATCTTTGCGCTTCCATGAATTCTCTGAAAAAATATTTCGAAATTGAAATAAACCATTGTAATAACCACTCAATCTTCCGAAACGTTCCCAAAGATAATGCAGTCACATTATTTAGTACACTTAAATTAGCGCAAATTTGGGTTCTGGAACAATTCAAGAAATCACTATCAAATTTTTTTAGAAATTTTCCAGCTGAATAATTGCAGTTAATCGTGAGCCACAAAACTGCAGCAACCCCATTCAATAACGAAACACAAGAAAGGGTGTTAATGTTATATAAATATATTAATGGCATCATTTTAATGATATATCACAAAGAAATGCATTAATAGAATCATTAATGATGAAACGAGGAAATATATTATAATTATTAACTAGCAGTAGCGTGGTTATTGACGAAATCTATTTATAATATACACGAAGTATACAAGACTCATCAATAACTAAACAACCCATTTTTTCGTTATGCAGAATTAGCAAAGGCAGAACTTACAGAATTATTTGCAATTTAACTTTTGCTCCATATAGGCTGCAACATCCACGTCCCATCACGCAATTGTTCGTACGTGCGGGCTCATCATATGACGTGATGAGATGTGTAAGAGTGTTGGACAGAAAAGTTTGGACCAGGTCAGCTAACACACCATCTATCACACACGTGGCTTATCATCTGCAGCACAATAAACTCATCTGGGTCCTCAACCTATGTGATTCTGATACCGGTACGGATCATCGTTACTAAACTATTTACCGACCCAATAACCCCGATGTCCAGATAATTTCCTGACCTACTGACAGTTTCCTGACGCACTTATTAGTACTGACCAGTACATCAGGAAATTATCGCTAGATGTGCATTAATGGTATTCTATTGATATGTTGTTTATAGAAATTTTTGCTAGCCAGTAGTTATATTTTTTTTCAAAATAATTAAACCAATTGATTCATTAGAGCATTCATCTAAACATATTTTGGAGCATGGATTTGTTGACAGAGTAGTAGTAACAACATTAACAATTCACTGAATGGTGCATTGGTACTGTAGATATCGAGGTTCACCGAACGTCTCAATGCATCGGTAATTTTCGATACACCGAGAATTTCCCGATACTGATTGGTTTCAATTTTTTTCCACTACACCGGTCTCGATCGCATTTAAAAATAACTTGCATCAATGTTCGTTCATTTTATTTAAACTTAAAAGTACATTTCATGCGGACAGGTGATAATAAAAATTCGGAAGAAAGAGTCACGTCAGTTGGTTCTATAAAATTTTTTACAATGGTTAGCGAAATGATCAGGAAAAGTAATAAAACCATAATTATTGACTTAGAGCGCAAAGCAGGTATGCGTGAGAAAGTTAGAAAACAGTGGAATAAAACTAATTATTTGCTTTCAACTGGAGGTTAAAGAAGCCAGTAGTTAGCTCAGAGGATGATGTTACAACAAAGTATGCCTGACAAGGAGAATAGTGACAAACATGACGACAACAGACCTTGAAACATCTTCTGCATCATAATATCTATCGTCATCATCACTAGAAGAGTAGGAGTCATCATTTGTGTCTGCATTTGCATTTGTTGTGGTTGCACTGAAGACAGGTATTGCAGTTGCTGTTGCAGCTGTAGCCGGTGAGGCTGTTGTAGGATTTGTTGCTTTGCTCAGGCCATCTTGATTTTGTATATCTAAATGTATGTAAAATAATGTATGTATGTAATATGTGATCAAGTATGTAATATAATTTTTTGTATATCTGTTAAATGAAAAAAATGAATTCGTGAATGAATGAATTATAGAATGATGAATTAGTTAGTATGTTATCGTCCGTGTTATTTTTTACGACTCTACTACCTAAACTACCAAAATAAAAAAAGCTTGTTTAAGTTTGTAAATATTTTAAAAAAAAGTTTGTCAAAAAGTAAACTTTTACATATTGAGGAGTGTTTAAATTACCGTGAAAATCTTCAGATGGGGTGAGCAAGTTTGGTAATGAATTACTAAGGGCAGAGTGGTTGGGCTGCAGGTGGTGTGGATGGTGATGGTCGTGGTTCATTGCACACTGCACGTCAGAAGCTGACGAATCGACTAGACATTCTGCTGATCTATGCACTATTGTATCTAGGGTTTGGTTCGGTCAGTTGCTTCATTACATCTTATTTCTCTTACATTATATTTGTTTGTTTATTTATTTATTTATTAAAATCAGTAAGTTTGCTATATTTCATCTTAATCCGATTATGTATTTCATTCTATATCTTCCGAACTCAAACAGCTTACCCGGAACATAGAAAAATAAATATTATTAAAGCATTGGGGTCGGCATGCATTGAAGTAAACAACTAAAATTTTGGCTTACTTACTTTTACCAATTTGCTAACTTGAAAGTAAAATTGACACGTACAAATTTACATCTGTTAGGTACAAAATACCCAACTTTCAACAAGTTCTTTCAGTTACTGCACTCACCATGGGTACATCAACCGTGCATGAAATAAGAAGGCGTATCATGCCACTACACCATACACACTTTTTGTAATTATATGGAATTTCATAGCCGAGAAAAAGTGGTTAGAGTATGTGGTATGAGTGAGTGTTAGTGATTGAAGTGTTAGTAATGTGTTAGTAATTTTTGTCTTTTTTTTTAAATCAGACTCTGCCAGAACAGGCGATAAAAAGGTTATTTATGAAAAAGTATTTAATTACTGAGTTAAAAAGTAATTATGTGATACAACTAAAAATAATAAATAAATAAATAAATAAATAAATGTAGGAATGAATGAATGAATGAATGAATAAATAAATAAAAAATAGATGATATCTTCAGTAAGAAAAGATTAAACAAATGACGGATGATTATTCATTTAACTAATGTATTTCAAGTGTTTTGGGATGAAGGTTTGTTCTTGGTAGGTTGATTGAGTGGTAGTCCGACCATTAAGTTAACGTTGACGAAGATTGTGGGTGGTAGTTTTGATTGGGAAGAATAAGTGGATAAGAGATGACGTGGTCCGAATTAGTTTATTAGCTATGAGATAGCCATGCTAGTGTTGTTAGCAATTTGTTAATGCTGAGTACCTATGACAGGGCATCCGTCCCCATTAACGGTAGATGTTTGAAGTTGTTGCTGCTGTTGCATTGTGTTGCACGCATCTGCTCTGTAATGTTGCTGCTGTTTTGTTGTTGACGTGTTCATCTGCATTATGTTGTGCTGCAAATGCAAATTTTGAAAATTTTAAAACATTTAACAACAACATATATGATAAAATTAATGTTTTATTATTAGAAATAAATTAAAAGGAAATACCTTGGAAATTTGCAAGAAGACGATCGTCTGCTTAATAGACTCGACCAAAATCTGATGAAAAATTAATGAATCCTTGTCTCAACGATAATTTTTGGTCAGGTAGGAAAAATATCAAATTCGGGAAGATATGTAGATGATAATATCAATAAATATACAACCTCAGCAGATGACTTCAGCGATTGAAATTGTCCAAAAGACTTTTCATCACAACACAACTTCATTCTTGCGTCCAAATCCTTACAGTTGGTGATGTCAAGTGAAACATTAAATAGCTTCAATAAAATTTTGGTCTGATTATTAATATTGGAGAATTAAAAAGAATAGTTTTGCTGTAAACTTAACCAGCATAATATACAAACCTGAATCTGCTCAATAAGAATTTTCAAATACGAATCAGCCTCTGCGAGCTTCTTATCAAAATCGGACATCGTTGCATTGTTTGCCAGGCCGTAGCTGTACGTCTGCAAACGTCAGAATGAGAACAAACTAATGATAGCTAATATCTTTCCAAAACATGTTGTGATGCATGGTTAATCTAACGGCTAATTGTGAAAATAATTTTTTTTTATCAAAATTAAATATTTCTGTGAATATTGAAATATAAAAATATTATGTACGTGAGCTCTTCGAAAATTTGTGAAGCGTTCCATACTTCTTTCACATAACTTTGTTTTACAGTTTTTGAGAGCGTTTGTGAGAACATTCTTTTTAGACATGCGCGTTACAAATAATTTTTATAATAATAATAATAACGATAATAATAATAATAAGTTTATAAGGAATGCACCATTCGTTTATATCAGTGAGATAGAAGGCAGCTACAGCTTGTGCAGGCAAATGTTGTTAGTTTTGAAATTGAAACAAAATCAGATAGAGAACAAGAGCAGTCTGGTCAAAAGTTAACAAATCTTCTAGTAGATGAAAAATGGTTAAAAAACACGAAGATTCAGCTGAGTGAAAAAACAAACCTGAGAACAGTACAGGTAACATAACAAGGATTATAGTGGTTCAGTAGATATTTCTGTTTGAGAACCACTGGATCGATTTTGACTAATAATATGGATTTAAAATCCCAATCTTCTAAGTCTGATTTTGAACTCCTGCGTTGTAGGAGCTGTTACAGTTTTTTCGTCCGGCTTATTCCAATGTTCAATAACTCTCGAGCTAAAAAATCTTCCTTTTATTGTTCCGACCCGTTTTTTGAAAAGCTTGTTCTGGTGCCCTCTTGTGTTTCTATTTTCTGTAAATTGGAAGAATAGGGATGAATCTTTACTTGTTATGATTTTGTACGTTTGAATAAGATCTACTTTAGTCCTATGTTTGTCCAAAGCTGTCAGTCCACATCTCTTCAATCTTTCCTCATATGAAAGTCTTTCAGAATTGTTAATCATCTGGGTTACTCGTCGTTGAACTTTATCCAACACTTCTTTGTATTTTTGCCGGTGAAGATTCCATGCCTGTATGCAGTATTCCAATTTAGGTCACACTAACATTTTATACAGATTTAACATTATTGATTTATCTCTGTTAACAATCGTCCTTTTTATCATGCAAAGCTATTGTTTGCTCTTTTTGCTGCTTCTATGAATTGCTTGGTAGGTGCCCCACTTATGTCTATAATTATTTCAAGGTCCCTTTCTTCCAATGAAACCTTTAGAGGTCTGTCTTCAAATTCTAATATATTTTGCTTGTTTTTTGCCCCATGTGACTGATGGAGCATTTATCTATGTTAAATTTCATCTGCCAGTCTTCCGCTCATTGGTAAAGTTTATTTTTAGATCAGTTCACAATCTTTCTGTATCTACATTTTATCCACCACTGCACAGAGCTTGGTATCAACCGCTTATTTGGCTAGCCCTGAAGTACACCGATTGTAACCCACCCAGTTCGAATAGTTTCCTCTGATGCTTACTTTTTGTCTTCTCTGGGTCAACCAATAAGTTAACCAATCAAGTAAGCTTCCTCCTATCGCTATCTCTTCTAGTTTTATGCGTAATCGCTTACGTGACACTTTATCAAAGTCCAAATATACTATGTTAACGGCTTTACCCCTATCCAATTTGGCATAAACATTTTCAAAAAACTCCAGCAGATTTGTTAGGCATGAACTTTTGTTTACAAAACCGTGTTGACTTTTACCAATTATATTATTATGGCACTTTACATTCAATGCTTGTTCAGCTGACTGGTCTGTAATTGCACGGTTCACTTAGATCTCCTTTTTGTATAAAGGTATTACTAATGCATCCATCCAGTCGGATGGTATTTCTCCAGATGAAAAAGAATTGTCATATATAGTTGTCAAAGCCTGACTTATTTATAGTAGCTTCATTGAAAAAGTGAAATGAAACAACTCAATTTTTTATTTTTTATCATATGTTGAATGATTTATAAATTCAACTTTGAAAAAAAAAATTAAAATAAATTTACAAAAGATGGAAGCTTTGGCTGCGAAATCTTCATAATAGAGGACTCCAAACAATTGATCCACTGCTCTTTCTCGTCGGCATGCTTGGCTGATCATTAAGGATGAGCATAATTTAACTACGTAACATCCAATGCATAAATATATAATAAAATAAAATTATAAAACCATAAATAAATGAAACATTTTTACTATTTTTTAAAAATTCTTATTATGTTAGATGCAAAGAATGGTGCAATATATGAGGCATTACATGGCAAACAAAAACATAGGAAGAAAGAGAAAAGGATTTAGATAAAACAAAAAAGTCAAAACTGAAAAACTAAATAAATTGGGAAAAAATTATAAAAAGAAGTTAGTTAGTTAATTAATTAAATTAACATCAAAACAAACCAATCTTAACAAATTTTGGCAAAACGTCTAGACATTCAATCATTTTTTTAAGCATTATATTTTAAATATTGGATAAATGAACCTTGGAAATGGAAAGTTTTCTGATCAACGGTTATAGTGAATGTACTGTCATCTTCATCATCAATGCCTATCACTGCCCCCTTCATTAGGCACACAAAATTCGTTAAATTTAAAACCTATAATAACTTCTCTACTTCATATAACACGAATAAAAGTTATGCCTGAAACAAACCAGCAATTAAAAAGTAATGTAAAAAAGCAATTTCAAAAGGTTTTAAAAGTTTCAACGTTTGCTAGTTGAACATTGGGACTTGTATATTACACAAACCTGGCAATCCCAGCTAACCCATAAATTAAAAATTCTAATAAGTATAATAAGTGGCAAATATCTGCCACAAAATTATAAGAAACAAAAGTCATGGAATCTATGCAATGGCACAAGAATAGTTTGAATCTACTTTGCTCTACTTGATTTCATTTTTTATAATGTCTAGAAATAAAATTTAAAACTTGAATAAAACTTGAGAATAATTTCTATGTCTGTAGAATTCAAGAATTGAAAAATAGATCAAGATATCAATAACGTTGGAATGTAATGATGTAACAATTATTTCCCAATAAAAATATAACAAGCCAATGATGTTCAATATAATGTGACCTCACCCACCTGCAGTCTGACACAGCCTCTTCGTTCACCTCTCACTCTCTTCTCCCTACTCTAATTAACAATTAAAAATGTATATGGTTTCTTTATAAATTGAATGCAGTATGAATTAATTTTGTTCTTAATTTTCTATCTTTTTGCAGAAAACCATTCATTTTTCAGCCATTTAAAGTATAAATAAAAAATTTGGCGATACGCAAGAACTAAAAATAAATCATAATGCTTTCCAAGTTGATAGTAAAAACCAAGTGTTCAATTGAGAATATTTAATTATCTTTAATTACATGATACTCACTGGGTTAAAAAAAAGAAGTAAAAAACAAAAAAGCTGTTTTTACTGCTTTGTTATATTTTGTGTGTGCGCGGTGTGTGAGTGCGTGTTTGTGGTGTGTGTGTGCGTGTGGTGCTTCTGGTCCATATTTTTTTAACGGATGATAATCCTATACATAGTCGGATGATTGGTTCTCTAAAAACGGTTGGCCAAATATTTAGTTGGACGATCGATCTTAACTCCCTAGTTTATTTGGACATTTAGTCTTCTGAGAAAGACAGTTGATCCTTTGATCGTTAGTCCCAAATCTATTTTCAAGCAATCTAACTTATATTATTTCAGATAAATTAAACATTTATAAACGTTAACAAGTTAAATAGTTTCAAGTGACTAATCAGCAAAAATTTTAAGTTCTGGTGTTGATTAATAACCTTCGTTTTATCATTTTAAATATCATTTTTCACCTACTCTACTCCGCCGCATGTGGTGCAATCCAACTTCATGATGTGCTGGTCCCAAGCACGGAAAAAAGAGGAGGGTTTCAGATGGGTGTCGATACGTTGACAGTGAAAAGAGAAAACAAATGAAATTTGATGCCAGACACAAAAAACAAAAACATGACGGCTCGGACGTCACCTGGATAAACAAAACCCGCAATACCAATCGAGCGATCGGGGTTAAGTCGATAAATTAGGTACCAAAAGAAAACTTAAAACTACAAAAGACCAACTTGGAATGTTCCGACTCTTTGGGCAACAAGCAAACTCCAACTTATGCAAGAGGAGACGACGTAACGATATAGATGTGACAGAGATGAGATGGACATTAACAGAAAAAACAAACGAAGATAAGTAATACGGTCAGGAAATGAACAAAGACATGATTGCTGCTAAGCAAACAAAGCTAAAGCAGCCATGCTGGGATACAAACAGGTAAGTGATAGTGATTGTTGTTAGATTCAGTAGCCAGCCATTCAATATCACAGTTGTTCAGGTTAATGCGCTTACAGTAGACAGCAGTGGAAAAGACTGATCAATTTTATGAAGACTTAACAACAACAATACAAAAAATATAAAAGAGAGTTATACTGATTGTGAATGGAAACTGAAATGTGAATGCATAAATTGGAGCAGACAATACTGGTCGGGAAAACGTAATGAGAAAGTATGGATTTGAAGACAAAAACGAACGGGGTGAAAAGTTATTGAACTTTGCAATTGAAAATAAACTGATGATTTGCAATAAAAGGTTTCAGCAGAAAGACGGTCAAAAATATACATGGTGTTCATGAGATGATAAAACCAAAAACGTTATCGATTTGGTTTTGATACGCAAAAGATGGGTAACATCAGTGCAGCTATGTCTAAAATTTTCAAGGTGCGGATGTGGATTCATATTGAAGTCTGCTGATAGCCAAAAACAGGATAAAACTAAAACGTAAATTCAAGGCCAAATTTCAGGATGAATGAGATCTGTCAAAATCTTCGAAATCCTCTGTAGGTGACAATACCGATCAATGCTTAAAGCAGAGTTGAAATACATAGACAATGAACAAGATCTGGGAGAAAAAGCAAAAATGCTGGTGAAGGCAAGACAAAACAGTCCAGAAAGCTGTACCTTTGAAAGAAAAAGCAAATCAGAGGTGGATTACAACAGAGACACTTAAGTTAACTGCAGAAAACAGGATACTAAAGTCTAAATAAGATATATCTGAAATGGCAGAAAAACAATACATATCTGCGAGAACAAAGCAAAATGAAGTGAAGCTATCAGTAATCAGTACAAAAACTAATTGCAACAAAACAAAAATAAAAGAGACAGCTCTAAAAGTTGATAAGTGGAGTCAAGCTCTCATGCATTTTCAAATAATTTTAAAATGTTCATGATGAATAATAGGGTCATTATAAAAATAAAAAATTAATCGTATTAACTTTAATTATTTTAACAATATATTAATTAATTCAATAAATCTCAATTAAACTAACGGTGTAATAAGACAAGAGACCGACATTATCATCGAGAACAAACCACCTGTACTGCCAACCCTTCATCAGGTTCGTCCACTTGCTCAGTGGGCCCTCCATGATGTATGACCCTGCCATGTCACCGCTAGATTAGACTAGCTGCAAATCAATCAATTCAGTTTTACTTAATTTTATTAGTTATCTTAAATCAATCAGTCAGGCCCGTTACATGCTCACTTGCACAATAAAGTGTTCCGTAAGTCAAGCACATGATAAACATTTTTAGGAACAATCCTATTTATTCCATGCTTGTGTATGCGTTTTATCTGTACATTATGCATATATTATGTATGTATATATATATTTTTACAACATTCTATAAATTCTACCGATAGTTTGGTAGAATTTATAGAATATTGTAAAAATTATGGTCTATTATCAACATTTATTCGATTCGGTAGTATTTATAGAATATTGTAAAAATTATGGTCTATTACCAACACACACACACACACACACACACACACACACACACACACACACACACACACACACACACACACACACACACACACACACACATATATATATATATATATATATATAGGGAGAGAGAGAGAGAGAGAGAGAGAGTTCAATTTTGTTGTTTGTTATTAGACTACTGTCAAAATGTTTTTATTATATTACTCAATATTACTGATAAACTAGTAAAATTAAATCATAGAACTAGGACAATAAATTAACAAGCATTCTAAAATTCTACAAACATTTCATGCGATCAAAACACTTTGCTCACATGTCTCAAAAGCATCAAATTAATTAAAATCACAAAATCACTCATCTCACACATCAGATATGCAGCTCCTTCCTGGTCTGGCTAGCTGCACAACAACAATTTCAACAATTACAATTTCGCATCAAAAAATTAATTCCCCTCAACCACATACTTTCATCATACCTCATCATCACTTAAATATTCAACATACTCGATTCAAGATTTGTTATGAAAATTAAAAACTAATAACAACCACATCATCCCCCTTCTACTACCACCAATTAAAACTACTAGAAAAAACCTTCATCATGGTAAACATATATCAAATCACTACTCAATCAACTTATCAAGATAAAACTTTCCCGCCAAAGTACTTGAATCATATTATTGCCCATCATTCATCATTTGCTTGACTATGTTTCTTCTATTTCTTTAACGAACATATAACTTATCTATATGGTAATCAATTCATTCACTCATTCATTTACTTATTTATCAGTTTCAACGATCGCTAACTTATTTCCCATATGTAACTCTTTTCACTTTGTTCATTTTTTTTTTCATTTCATAATATTGTCTTGCATGTTGTAATCAGATTCTGATTTTTTTTATTAAAAATTTTTGATATATATATATATATATATATATATATATATATATAATTATATACATACACACACACACACATATTTTTAGACCTATTTCTTTGCTTTCTCCTTTGTCAAAGGTACTTGAAAAATTAGTTGCCAACAAAATGAAATCGTTTATAGATAAATATAAATTATTGTCTAACAACCAATATGGATTTAGACCAAAACACTCAATGGAGTTAGCTATTAGAATTATTAATAACTTAAATGATAAACATCCTACACTTGGGATTTTTAAAGACCTCACGAAAGCTTTTGATATTATTGAGCACAATTTACTTTTACACAAACTCAAACTCTATGGATTTCGTGGTAAAATCCTTTCTTGGCTCACTAGTTACCTGTCTAACAGAAAACAATTTGTGTCGATAGATTGCAAAAATTCTAATATTTTGCATGCTAAATATGGGGTCCCACAGGGTTCAATTTTGGGCCCTCTTCTTTTCACAATTTTCATCAAAGATTTTCCTAATGTGACTACACTATTTAAATGTATTATGTTCGCTAACGACACTAATATTTTCTACAGTTCGAAATCACTAATTGATGATTTATCGCAAATTAATATCGATCTCAAGAGAAATGAGGCTTGGTTTTTGGCCAACAAGCTAATCATCAACATTAACAAATCATGCTATACAATTTTTGGTCCTACAATACTTACTAATAATATTCAAGACTTTTCTCTTAAGTTAAATAATAATATTCTTAGAAAATGTAGCACAATTAAATTTTTAGGTGTATATATCAAAAGTAATCTGTCATGGTCGTTACATATTTTGGAAATTTGAAAAAAAAATTCAGTTTTTTATGTATTTTAAATAAATTAAAACATAAATTTAATTTCGTTAGCAAAATTAATCTATACTATAGTTTTATTTTTCCTCATCTAATTTATTGTAATATAATCTGGTAAAAATGGTCCTGAATATTTACGTTTTTGTGTGGTTTATATGGATCTTGAAAAAGCGTTTGACAAGGTTTCACACAGCCGGTTACTATTCAAGCTCAAACAGTACGGTATTAACAACAAGCTAGAAACTTCAAGAATTTATCAGAAGAAGCTTTTGTTTTGTTGTACAAGTCGTTGGTGAGGTCTCAGTTGGAATATAGTGTTCACTGTTCAAGCATGGAAACCTTACAAAATTGGTTTAATGCTAGAAATAGAAAAAATTCAAAAAAGAGCAACACGTTTGGTTAATTCCTGTAGGTCTCTTCCTTATATTGACAGATTAAAGAAACTTAAGCTGCCTTCACTCGCGTACCGTCGTCGTAGGGCGGATCTCATTTTGCTGTTCAGAATGTTACATAGCGAGGTTTCTGTCAAGGCTAGTCCAACGCTACTATTTTCGTTCGACGATCGTACGAGAGGACACAATTGGAAACTGACTACAGGACCATGTCATAAAGATTGTCGTAAATTTTGCTTCTCAAACCGTGTGGTAGACGACTGGAATAGTAAGGTGTGTCAAATTTAAAAAATTTTTTTTTGAAAAAACAAGGGCATGGCAAAAAAAACTTTTTGGCGTCCTGTTTCCGTTGGTGTCTTTTAATTTTGAATGGACACAGAACCATGTCATAAAGATTGTCGTAAATTTTGCTTCTCAAACCGTGTGGTAGACAACTGGAATACTGAAATAGGCTTCCTTCTGGTGCCATCAACACTGATAACATTAACATTTTAAAATCATTATTAAATTCATTTTTTGGTGACTCCATATTTGATTTGCGTTTGAATTCATAATTGTTCTTTTTACAATATATACATTCAATAGTTATCTTTTACACTATATATATTCAATGGTTATCATCTTAATAGTTCATTGGTTTCAGATTTGTGTGCATTTTTTTGGTGGTTTTAATTGTTAATACTATTAATTAATTGTGTTTGTTTTATTTTGTTGTGTTGACTTGTGTATTATTATTTATATATATAAGATAAGTTTATTATGTACATTACCGATTTTATTTATTTATGGTTTATTTTTTCGAATTTCTATATTTTTGTTTGGCAAGAGGCTCTGTTTTGAATAATAATAATAATAAAAAATGAAATAATGGGCAAAAGTATACTTTTCTATGCATGCAATTAATTTTGTGAGATAAGCATGGAAGTGAGATGATAAATAGACTTGAAAGTGAACTTTTACTACTAATAATAAAAATGTTAATCTTATTTTAGTTAGAACATTTAAAATGATATAAACTGAAATAAAACAGCACATTTACAATGGAGATGTTTTTAAAAAGACAGATTCATCTTTTAATGCTGTATCTGCTATAATGGTTATGCATGGTAGGCAGGAAAGTATACTAACTTTAATGAATTATGTTATATTATATTATTTAAAGCATGAAAATGTGCTTTGATGAACTATTTTAACATTGGTAGGCATAAAATTACACTTTTGCATAGCAGTTAAGGGTTACGGTAAGAGAAGGGTTATTATACTTTATAACAAACTATATAACAAACGTCAATTTTTCAATGTTTACAATTTTTAAATGTTGAAGAAAAGTATTTTGCTTTCACCAACTTTAA